CGAATTCTGTAGAGTCTTAAGCAAAAATTCTAGATGAGATTTGGTGGGGGGAAATGCAGCAAAACCCGTGTTCAAGGCAATGGTGGCATGCCCACTGTTAGCTCACAGCTACTCAGGAAGCTGAGATGCGGAGGACTCATTGACCCTTGGGCAAGGTCAAGGCTGCAAGCGAGTCTCGTCGATTGCACCCACCTTCACGCCAGCATGGGTGACAGTGAGAGCCCCCCCTGGTCTTGCGGGAAAAAAACCAAAAACGAGAAACGCTACACGTGATGAAACACCGCTGTCGGCGCGGGCGCGGTGGCTCAAGCTTGCTAATCCCAGCACTTTGGGAGGCCCGCCCGACGGCGTGGGATCACGAGGTCACGGAGATCGCAGACCACTCCCCTGCTAACACGGGTGACACCCGTGACACCCCGTCTCTACTAAAAAACTCCACCAAAAAAACCTAGCGGCGCGCAGGTGGCGCGCCTGTAGTCCGCCCTACTCGGGAGGCCTGAGCGCACGCCGCGCACGGCCGTGACCCCAGCGAGGCGGAGCTTGCAGTGAGCTGAGATCGGCACCTGCACCTCCAGCCTGGCCACAGAGCGAGATCTCCCGTCTCAAAAAAGAAAGAAAAAAGAAAACAGTGTCATACTGGCACATGAATAACGAGCAGACTCACACTCGCACACACGCAATCACTCCACCTGTAGTTCAGAACAATAACTACTTACAGCACTTAGTCACGCCACACGACGATGGCTCGCGCGCACGCGCACTCGCTACTCCTCTCTCCGCATATATGATAGACAAATTTGTTTTAATTGCATATACCATAATACAGCTACCCTCCCTACATATCACATACATATAAGCTACCCTAACAAATCCATCTTCAGAAAGACACACAATCACATACCGACAACAGTGAGCCACGAAACATGAGCAGCTAGCTTCATAGCAGACGGAAACACATGCAATGCTTCATCTAGGCAAAAATGCTCAAGCTCACTTGTAAAAAGAGAACGCAACACTTAATGTGGTAGTGAAATTGCCTCACTTTTTTGTCTCTCAGATTAGCAAAGCTAAACAAAAATCCTGAAACTTCTACTGGTGAGGGTGTAAGGAAACTCAGACATGACACGCGGACTCGGCGCGCGCTCAAATTAACCAAACTCTTGGAGGGAATATAGTCTACTGTGGTATTTAAATTGTAAACTATTCTTTGTTCCATTTCTACTAATTTCTTTTTTCTCTCTTCTTTTTTTTTTTTCGAGACATAGTCTCTATCACCCAGGCTGGAGTGCAGTGGCACAATTTCGGCTTTTGGCTCACTGCAACTCTTACTCCCAGACTTCAAGCAATCTCCTGCCTACCCTTTCTGGAGTAGCTTGAGGAATTAACAGCATGTGCCACCACTCCTGGCTAATATTTTTTTCTTTTTTTTTTCTTTTTGTATTTTACTAGAGCCGGGTTTTCACATGTTGGCCAGGCTGGTCCTTGAACTCTGACCTCCAGTGATCCACCACCTCAGCCTCCCCAGAGTGCTAAGGATTACAGGCATGTGTCACCGGCGTGCCAGCCTCCATTTTCCTAATTAATTTTCTTAAGCAAAATCAAGAACATATATTGTGCCATTCGTGTTGTAGTGCAAAAGATTGGAAACAACCTAAATGTCCATCATAGGAAATTCATGAAATAAAACTACACTTCAAAATGTATCCCAGAGGAATACCATGAAACTGTCGAAGAGAATGGGAACATGTTCCTTATGTGCTGTGACAAGCGATCTCACACCCAGTACCTAAGGGAAAAAAAGTACTGGCACAGTGGCTCCACACCTGTAATCCCAGAACTCTCTCCGCGCGAGGCTCGACCGCGGGCGGATCACTGCACGCGCTCAGGAGTCTCGAGCCAGCACCCTGATCCAATATGATGGAAACCCTATCTCTACTCCACACACAATAAAAGAACACTTCAACCAAGTGTGGTGGCATGCGCACCTGCCTAATCCACGTCTACTCTGGCGAGGCCTGAGACCAGGAGAATCGCTAGAAACCCTGGGAGGTAGAGGTTGTAGTGAGCCCGATTGGTGCCAGCCCTGGGCCAACAAGAGTGAAACTTCCCCATCCCCTCAAAAAAAACAAAACACAAATAAAAAAGTGCTGTTGGCGAACGGGGGAATTTGGGCCTGCACCGGCTGCATATCAAGAGAAGGAAAGGGGAGGCTTGCTTGAGGTCAGATGGATCTCTGCAGCTGATCTCCAAAACCCTATTTCCTATCTTCCTGGCCACACAGGGCCACTCATTCCCCAGACTCTTGCATGGAGGCCACGTTGCTGTGATTGAAATCCCAGCCAGGCAAGCAGGCCTCAGCCCAACGGAAACCGTCCCCTGGGCCACCCTCCCATTGCCTCTTCTCCTTCCTCTGGTTTTGTGTGAATGGCTGCCTGACCCCAGGCCGACTTCTGGTGGAACTTCTGCGTATTCCAAATCAGAGGTCCGCAACAACGAAAGGAGCCCTGGGGTCCCCTGAGTTCCCAGCGTGGAGGCAGAATCTCCCAGGACGCTCCACACTGTTGGCAAGCACACTGAAGCCAGGGAACTTCATTGCATTTCCACTGGAATTCTGGGCGTCTCTCTTGCAGACAGTAACTTAGCCCTGTAATAACCCTTTTGGCATCGTATTACCCTATAGAAGGAGCAAAGCAAACAAAATTCACACAACTCTGCAGGCCCCTTTCTTTCTGGGCCTGGAAGTCCCCACATTTTGCGTTAGCCAAACTCTCTGGCCTCAGCTCCAGGGGCTCCAGCCACAAACAGGCGCCTCCCTGCGACGCTTGTTGCCTAGATGTGCACCTTCTTCTGCAATTCTCCTGCGCTGTCCCAGAACATATCTCTTCCTGGCACAGCTCAGCCTCCTGATTTCACTTCTCTGCACAGCGTGAGCTCCTCTCAACCCCCAACTCTTCCGGCTTTCTTGCTTGACAATTTCATCTGGCGTGAACATACACACATTTCGCTGGGTACCACCTCCCTTCCCCAGCAGTGTCCTCTGTTCCTTCCTTGCCGTCATGGCCCAAGTTGCCCAACCCAGCAGTGTCCTAGGAAAAAAAAGAGTGGCAACAATCCGTTAGATCCCACCTGAAGAAGAGTTAAAGAAGCCAATATCGATGGCCGGCAGCGCGGTTGGCTCACTGCCTGTAATCCACCACTTTGGGAGGCCCGAGGTGGCGGATCACGGAGGTCAGGAGATCGAGCCATCCTGCGCTAACATGGTGAAAACCCCGGTCCTCTACTAAAAATACAAAAAATTAGCCGCCGCGTGGTGGCACGCGCCTGTAGTCCAGCACCAAGCAGTATACCTTGGGCAAGGCCTGAGGGCAGGAGACCTCTCTCTCGAAGCGACGGGCGGTGGCGGGTGCGGAGGCGCCGCGCGAGCCGGGAGGCAGCCAAGGGCAGGGGATACCTAGCGCCACCCGCTCCGCCTGCATCCGCTGCGCGCCCCAGCCCAAGGATGGGAAGACGCGGCCCCGCCCCCGGCCCGCCCCCGCCTTCCCATTGGCGGTCGCGCGGGGCGGGGAACGGGGTCGGCTCTGTGGCCCTGAGCCCCTAGCCCTGCCCTCCGTCCGCTCGCAGCCCGCTATCCTGCTGCCATGTTGCGTGCTGCCGCCCGCTTCGGGCCCCGCCTGGGCCTCCGCTTCTTGTCAGCCGCCGCCACCCAGGCCGTGCCCGCCCCCAACCAGCAGCCCGAGGTCTTCTGCAACAAGGTGAGCCCCCCGGCCCGGCTCGCGCTTTGTTCTCCGGCCCAAGTTCCCGCAGGCCCCGCGCCGCCGTGGGCCTCAGTGTACCCATCTGGGGCTCGAGGGACTTGCAGAGGCTGAGCTGGAAGCACATCTGCCCCTTCCTCTCCTGCAAGCATTTTAGCCCCTTCGCCGCCTCTGACAGTGCCCGTCCCGTTTCCCCTGACTTGGGCCCCCGCTCCGTCTTCGCCCAGCCTCGGTCTGTTTTCCAGCGCCAACTCTCGGGATTCGGTTCCCCCCACGGTCCTTCGCTTTCGGGTCTCCGCGGGGTCCCCACCCTCAACCACTTAGAAGACGCGGCCAAGTCCCTCTTTGCGGGAACTTTTCTGTCTTTTCCTTAGTCATCCCCTTTACCCCCTGACTCATGCCCTCATCCAAGGAGTTCAAAAGGAAAAACCAGGAAAGAGGTGATTTGCAGCCAGCGTTCTCCAGTTCGCCAAGGGCGAGGCCACGCCAGTGGGCGCTCGACTGCTTCCATCGCTGGGAGTGGGGAATCCTGGAGGACCTTAGGCCCCAGGGCGCCGACTCCAAGGGGTGTCCGCGGCTTGCAACGCCGGCTTCGACCAAACCAAGGAGGAGCTTTCCAGGATAAAACCGATTCCCGTGGTCCATTTATTGATTGCTCAATCAGTAATACTTTGGAATATTTTTTATTTTGATCTTTGAGTTTGGGCAAAGTTCTAGACTTCACAGAGGCTGAAACTGGTAATGAAAGAGTTTGTTTTGTTTGTGTCAGTGCATGTTGGCTGCTTTCTCTGACTTAAGTTTCTCCTATAAATGGTAAGGGGCTCAGAGGGTGAGGTTCACACAGGTCCTCATCAACCGGTCACTTCATAGTTAATCACAGCTCCTGTCCTCTCTGCACAGCCTTTGTGCCTGGCACTGTTCCAAGGGTCTACCTGTTTTGCAATTTAAGGTAATTCTTACAACAGCCTCAGTAGGTAGCGACTATAATTCTCCATTTTATAGATGAAGAGACTGAGTCACAGAGAGGTTTAGTGACTCACCTGAAGACCAAAGTCAGTGGCATAGTTGGGGTTCACAGCTGAACTTCCAGGAGTAAGCCCCTGACCAGAACATTCCATGGTATGTTGTGACTCTGGGTGGGAACAAAGGGAACACCGATCCTCTGGGACTGTTGCTGATTTGGGATGCTGTAGAGCTGACTCCTAGCCAGCTGCTTTCAACAGCACACCTGCTGGTCTGGCCCTGAGTGTGGCTGCAAATCTGGATATAGGTGATGGGTAAAGCCACGTGCGTGTGATTTTAGGGGATGTTACAAAAGTCATTTGCAAGGGAATTTTTAAAAAGATAAAATAAAATGTCTTTTGTATAACACAAGCTAAAAAGGCAGCAGCTGTGGCTCCCTTGGCAGCCTGTGCAACTGAGGAGTTCATGCTTGGAAGACTTGAGCATCAAAAGATCTAGCAGAGGCCAGGAGCAGTAGCTCATGCCTGTAAATCCCAGCATTTTGGGGTGATCCCTTGAGCCTAGGACTTCGAGACCAGCCTGGGCAACAGCAAGACCCTGTCTCTAGTCTCTACTAAAAAAGTAAATTAGTCAGGTATGGTGGCACATGCCTATAGTCCCAGCTATATGGCAGGCTGAGGTGGGAGGATCCCTTGAGCCTAGGAGTTCGAGGCTGCAGTGAGCTATGATTGGGCCACTACACTTAGTCTGAGCAACAGAGCAAGACCCTGTCTCATAAACGTCCTCAAGGAACAGCCATCACACTAGGAACCCTTGTGGCCACAGGATCTGATTAACATCTTTATCCTTCATCACATGCAGGTGAGGCAGCTGGGTCCAGAGGTGCACCCAGGCCTGTGGGTAACACTTCCTGTTCTCCAGATTTACTTTGTGGGTGTAGGCTGGAGGAGTGGAGCCAATTCCCGTGGTTGCTTTTCTTTATCAGACTTTTTGAGATCATTAAAGTAACACATGCCCACTGTATAAAATTGCAGAGGACTGACAACTCTCTGGACACAGTCGGCCAAGGTGGTTCATGCCTGTGATCCCAGCGCTTTGGGATGCCAAAGTGGGAAGATCGCTTGAGGTTAGATGTAAGGCTGCAGTGAGCTATAATTGTGCCACTGCACTCCAGCCTGGGCAATGGAGCAAGAACCCATCTCTTAAAAAAATAATAAGTAAATAAACCTCTCTGGATACCCCATTGTACTCCCTCCAAGAGCACTGTGAACAGGTGGGTGTGTCTCTTGTAGACATTTTTTCATTTACAAGTGCCTGCAGCGAGAGAGAGAGAGAGAGAATGCAAGCACACCAGATTTTTTTTTTTTTTTAAACATAAATGAGATGCAACCACTTATATTCTGAAGCTCCCCGTCTCACTGAACAATGTGCCTGGGTTATCATTCTGAGTACGTTCAGATCTTATTTAACCCTTTCCAAGGACTACAGAGCATTCCACTTTGGCGGCACCATGCTGGAACTGGCCCTCTTAGAGCCCCCTGGGCTGTTTGCTGTGTGGCCTTGATGCCGACTCAGCAGGAGAGAGGGATGTTGTATACAACAGTGGACTCTGCACCTCAGCTGCCTCATCTGTAAAATGGGGTAAAATGGCTGGGTGCAGTGGCTCACACCTGTAATCCCAGCACTTTGGGAGGCTGAGGCGGGTGGATCACGAGGTCGGGAGTTCAAGACTAGCCTGGCCAATGTAGTGAAACCCTGTCTCTATTAAAAATACAAAAATTAACAGCGAGACTCCGTCTCAAAAAAAAAAAATACAAATATTAGCCAGGCATGGTGGCGCGCCTGTAATCCCAGCTACTTGGGAGGCTGAGGCAGGAGCATCACTTGAACTTGGGAGGCAGAGGTTGCAGTGAGCCGAGATCATACTACTGCACTCCAGCCTGGGTGACAGAGCGAGACTCCGTCTCAAAAACAAAAGGGGATAAAATTCCATCTGCGTCACCGAGTTGCTGGGAGGACCAAATGGGGTGAGGCTTCATGGCCGCTGGTGCCTCCATATTGATTGCAGCCTTAAGCAGGAACTGGGATAATAGTGACGCTGTGAACTTGCAGTATCTTGGTGATCAAACTCCATTTGATATGGATGCTGTTATATTTGCAATTTGTTTCCTGAAGGGGTGAGCTAGGTTGTGGTAAAGTAGAATGGGAGTTTGGGGTGAATTAAAACTTGCATCTTTATTCTTACTCTCTCTTTCTGTTTTTGTTTTTGTTTTGAGACAGGGTCTCTCACTGTTGCCCAGGCTGGAGTATAGTGATGCTCACTGCAGCCTCAACCTCTCAGGCTCAGTCAACAAGTTACCCTCCTACTTCAGCCTCCCAAGTAACTGAGACTACAGGCATACCCTACCACACTTGATAATTTTTGTATTTTTCATTTTATTTTATTTTATTTTATTTTATTTTATTTTATTTTATTTATTTGAGACAGACTCTTGCTCTGTTGCCCGCGCTGGAGTGCAGTGGTGTGATCTTGGCTCACTGCAACCTCCACCTCCTGGGTTCAAGTGATTCTCCTGCTTCAGCCTCCTGAGTAGCTGGGATTACAGGTGCCCACCACCATGCCTGGGTAATTTTTTTGTGTTCTTAGTAGAGATGGGGTTTCACCGTGTTGGCCAGGCTGGCTGGTCTTGAACTCCTGACCTCAGGTGATCCACCTGCCTTGGCCTCCCAAAGTGCTGGGATTAAGGCGTGAGCCACTGTGGCCAGCCTAATTTTTGTATTTTTTATAGAGATGGGGTTTCGCCATGTTGCCCAGGCTGGGTATTGAACGCCTAGGCTCAAGCAGTCTTCCCTCCTTGGCCTCCCAAAGTGCTGGGATGACAGGCGTGAAGCACTGAATTAAAGAGAGAACTGACAGAAAGGCATTTAAGGATGGATTTCCCAAGGCTAGGTGTGGTGGCTCACAGCTGTAATCCCAGCACTTTTGGAGGCCAAGGTGGGAAGATTGCTTAACCCCAGGAGTTCGAGACCAGCCTGGGCAACATAGCAAAACCCCATCGCTACAAAAACTTTAAAAAATTAGCTGGACGTGGTGGTGAGCGCCAGTAGTCCCAGCTACTTGGGAGGCTGAGGCAGGAGGATTGCTTGAGCCAAGCAGTTTGAGGCTTCAGTGAGCTTTGATCTTGCCACTGCAGTCCGTCCTGGGCAACCCTGCAAGTCTACATAGGCGCCGTGCAGAAATGTTCATTGCAACTACTTTTATGTCAGTAAAAGCTTAGGAAATAAGCCAGCTTGAGCTCCATTGGGAAATAGATGAACACCTATGTTACAGTTATAGTAGGGAAATAATCCTCTGCACGTAGCAGTTACAAATCATTGGCTGGACCTGTACAAATAATGTATCTCAAAAAGAATATGTCAAGGAGGAAAAATGTCCAGTACTCTACACCATATGAAACCATGAAAACTGTATAAAACAAAATTTTATATTGCATGTAGATAGACAGATCTCCATTAAAAATATGTAAGAATGTGCTGGAAGGAAAATTCTCCTTGGTGTGAGGATGGTTACTGCCTGAGTGGGCAAGACAGGATAGGGAACAGGCAGGACAGGATAAGGGTAGTAATGAACAGGGACTCTGGCTTCATTTAAATGTTTGATTTCTTTAAAAATTGAGCAGGCACAGTGGCTCACGCCTGTAATCTCAGTACTTTGAGAGGCTGAGGCCGGCAGATTGCTTGAGTACAGGAATTCGAGACCAGCTTGGCCAACGTGGTGAAACCCCGTCTCTGCTAAAAATACAAAAATTAGCTAGGCATGGTGGCCCACGGTTGTAATCCCAGCTACTCGGGAGGCTGAGGCATGAGGATCACTTGAACCCGGGAGGCAGAGGTTGCAGTGAGCCGAGAGAGAGTGAGGCCTAGCAACAGAGTGAGACTCCATCTCAAAAAAAAAAAAAACAACAAAAAGAAATAGATTTAGGCAGCCCAGAGAGTCTGGGGGTGTCACTGGGCCCCACCTTGGTTACTTCTGCTTC